CCATCTTAAGGAATGTGGGATTATCTCACAATTGACACCTCCCAGGACACCACAGCTTAATGGTGTGGCTGAGAGGCACACTCGAACCTTGTTGGATATGGTTCGTTCTATGATGAGTCGAGCTTCGCTACCAATCTCATTCTAGGGGTATGCCTTAGAGACTACCCCCATATCCTTAATCTAGTCCCTACCAAAAAGGTTGTCAAAACACCTCACGAGATGTGGACTGTAAAAGTTCCCAATCTGGACCACATCAAGATTTGGGGTTGCGAGGCTTTTGTGAGGCGTGAGTCTCACGATAAGCTCGAACCTCGAAGTGAGAGGTATATTTTCATCGGCTACCCACAGAGATCATTTGGTTACTTCTTCCACATACCCAGTGATAATGTGGTATTTGTAGCAAGGAGAGGTGTCTTTCGCGAGAGAGAATTTATAAGCCAAGGAAACAGTGGGAGCCAAATTGATCTTGAAGAAATTCAAGAGTCAAGTGGTGAATGAACCTCAAACCCTAGCAATTAACCTGAGAAGGGAACTCCTGTTGATCCGACAGAAGAGTCTGTACCTCTGAGGCGTTCCACGAGAGTTAGGAATGCACCTGAGCATTACTTTGGTTTCCATATTACTGCAAAAGGTGATAAACTTATCAGTGATAGCACACTGGTAAGTCAGGATGAACCTTACAGCTACACGGAAGCCATGGCAGGCCCTGAGGCTGCTAAATGGAAAGAGGCTATGGACAACGAGATACAATCCATGTATGACAATCAAGTTTGGAACTTGGTTGACAATGTACCAGGTCTTAAGACAGTTGGGTGCAAATGGATCTTCAAGAAGAGGACCGACATGGATGGTAATGTGCAAACTTATAAGGCGCGACTGGTTGCAAAGGGATTTTCTCAAACTCTGGGAGTTGATTATCATGAGACATTTTCACCAGTAGCGAAGATTAAGTCTATTAGGGTTATGCTAGCCATTGCTGCATTTCATGACTATGAAATATGGCAAATGGATGTCAAAACCGCTTTCCTTAATGGGAAGTTGGCTGAGGATGTTTACATGACTCAGCCAGAGGGTTTTGTCAGTACAGAGTACCCTAATACAGTGTGTAAGCTTGAGAAATCCATCTATGGATTGAAAAAAGCACCTCGCAGATGGAATCTTTGTTTCGATGAGAAAGTCAAAGAGTTCGGCTTTTCGAGGAGTGAAGATGAATCTTGTGTATATGTCAAGGCTAGTGGGAGTATAGTTAGCTTTTTGGTATTGTATGTGGATGACATACTACTCGTTGGAAATGACATCCCAACTCTGCAGGAAGTGAAGTCCTGGCTTGGGAAGTGTTTCGCTATGAAGAACCTTGGGGAAGCTGCCTATATCCTAGGGATAAGGATTTTGAGAGACAGGAGTAAAAGACTAATTGGACTTTGTCAGAGTACCTACTTGGATAAGGTGTTGAATAGGTTCCGCATGCAGAAATCCAAGAAAGGAGAGTTACCGATCCAGAGTTACGCCGGACTGAGTAAGACTCAGAGCCCGAGTACAGAGGTTGAGATAGCTAAGATGAGTCGAGTACCTTATGCTTCCGCTGTAGGATCGATCATGTATGCTATGACTTATACTCGTCCTGATGTGGCCTTTGCATTGAGCATGGTCAGCAGATATCAGGGGAACCCTGGAAAGGCTCACTGGACTGTAGTAAAGAACATTCTCAAGTACTTGCGAAGGACTTAGGACTGGGTCCTTACCCTCGGTGGGAGTGATAACTTGAGGGTATTAGGGTATAGTGATGCTAGCTTCAAGACTGATAGGGATAATTTCTGCTCTCAGTCAGGCTGGGTCATTACCTTAAACGGAGGAGCAATTTCTTGCTAAAGTTCCAAGCAGGAGATAGTGGCTGATTCAACTTGCGAATCAGAGTATATAGCGGCAAACGAGGCAGCAAAGGAGGCTATATGGCTAAAGAACTTCATTGGAGACCTTGGAGTTGTACCAGCTATAAAGGAGCCTATAGAGATTTTCTGTGATAGTGAAAATGCAATTGCCTTAGCCAAGGAACCAATGGATCACGGGAGATCTAGACACATCGACAGAAAATACCATTTCATCAGACATCGAATAAAAGAAGGACTCTCCGTGGCAAAGAGGGTATCATTGGATGAGAACCCGACAGATCCCCTCACAAAGGGACTGAGCAGGGTTAAGCATCTCCAATATGCGAGGCGCATAGGGCTGAAGGATGATATTAGTTTTAGTAGTTAGATAGCTTTGAAATGTGTAAAGTGTAATTGACATTTGATGATGAATAAAAGTTGTGTTTATTTATGAGTAAAGTGTTGCTATCTTTTGTCAATCGTTTACTATCGTTTCATTTTGCATGTTTTGACTTCCAAAATAATTATGTTATTGTATCTCATATTATTCAAATTCTCCACAGTCGGTCATATGTAGGAAGTAGATATGAATCAAGGCTGTCATGAGTTGGCTTGTAGATGTCCAAGGTACTGGACATAGCAAAGTGTTGCTACAACACTCATGCGTGCTCATAAGTTCTGAGTATTGGATTCAACCCATGCTCGCTGGTATCACTACATGGAATTTATCTCGAGTGATCGCAAGACGATAATATCATATAAGTCTTCAAACCTAGAGATATGACTTGTTGCCTATGAGTTGGTTATACATTGATTGTACGAAAACGCATTGGTAACTCGATGTTATAAAACGTGCCTTTGTGTATGATTCAACAAGTAGTAGAATAAGCATATGAGTCAAAGTTTATCTGTTCCTTCTTGGATTAGAAGCGATATCTGGTCCCCTCGATGATTTTGTGTTGACCCATGTACCGGGCCCGGTCAAAACTAAGTTGATGTATTCAATTAAGTTCTATGTCAAACAAATCGGAAATCGGGAAACAAACTGCTGGACAATAAGTAAGACATTGTTCCATGTATTTGTTCGGCTGATATCTAGAACAGAGGATTATACAATCACCTATCTTAAATGACGTATCATCATCATCTCAGATCCGCGAGACCTTGAAAGAGTTACAATTGCTGATCGGTTCCTGAAGTCATACTTGCAGTTATAGTTATTAGACTTATCCAAGTGGGAGACTATTGGATAAGGTGTCTAAGTCCATAACTATTACTGGTATGTACTTGACCCGGTTGGCATGGTCCATTTGGGTTGCATGGCATTGCAATACTTGGATAGACCAAATTGAGAGAAAGGACACTTAAGGTTTATTAATATATTATAAGTTCTAATATATTAATAATATTATTTAATTAGTATTGGTCAAAGATTTAATTAGGAATTAATTAAGTGATCAAAAAGAGACTAATTAAATATATAGGGTTAATTGTGTAAATCATATATTCTTGTATAGTGGGCTAATGATACATGGTTTGTATGGATTGGGTTAAAACCTGTAAGGTGCTCCATAGATAATCCATGGAGGTTACAAACCCATTGATCATGGAATATGGAAAGCCATGACAATTAGGGTTTACATGGTGTAACCCTACTTGTGCCACAACTATATAAAGAACCCTATGCAAGCAAAATCGACTACTACTTGTACAAGATAGAGGGCAACCCGATTTTGAGGTGTTAGTGAACCTCTCTCAAGGTTATTCCAAGTGTTATGGTGTTGTGTGAGACATTTGAGGCATCACACTTGAGGTGCTAGGCTCACAAGGTTCTCAAGGAATCCAAACCACAAAAGGTATGTTCTTCTTCTAGCATTTATGTTTAAAAGTTCCCCATGCTATGCTAGATAGGATAAGAACCTTGGAAAATCAATTTTGCATGTATCTTAGTAAAACATAGATCCAAGGTTTCTAGGGTTGCATGTACAACTTAGGAGTGTTAGAATGCTCAAAACCCTTCATTTATGACTCAAGACCGTCCCAAAGGTCTAAAAGGACGAACTAATATGTCAAGAACATGCTTTGTTCAAGAATCATCATTTTGGGACCCAAAAGAGACTTTAAAGAGCAAAAACCTAGATCTACAAGATGGAGTGGAAAATATGAGAAACAATAAAGATCGATAGATTCTATATTTATGAGATGAAATAAAGACAAGAAACGACAATGATCAAAAAGGTGTCGAGTGATTATTAATCATAGCAGTAGAATAGTTCTTGAGGCAGAACTATTTTGTACTTGCTTCAAAAGTCGTAACCCTAAACGATACATGTACGCTATATATAGACTAACTAAGTCACTAATTCTGAATATGGACAGGACCATTTCGGAATCCAATAACATACATTTGAGACTACATAATATTATACCTAACAATCTCCCCCTTTGTGTCAATTCGGAAGGAAGTCTTCATTGTTGTCTTTGCGCGTCAAAAATCTACGGCATAATCTTCATAAGTGAGCCTCGGACAGACAAATACCAGCGAATCATATTGGAAACACATTTGATATCAACTGCAGAGTTTGCTTCTTTTCATGTGTAAACAATGCTCCAATGCTTCTTCCAAATGATCCCTGCGTTCAAATGTTGGATGTCTCCGGGTTGTTCTTCTGGTTTCGTAATAGGCCTCTTCTTTAGAATAGATGCGATCTTAATATCCATCTTCGCAATTTTACGGATGTAACACTTGATCATTCTTTTCAAATGTGCAATAATGGGCTCATGCTTCTGAACATCCAATACCACAATGTAGAACAAATATAACCAATCATAAGGGTTCATGAATGGCATATCAGCCAATGTGAACTCATGAAGAATGTGATTGGCACCTCAAAATCCTTTTAACTGGATATTCAAATTCTTCAGTCTGAATCGGTAATCCAACCTTCACTGCCATGATCTGTTTCAAGCTCCATGTGTCATACTACGGTCTTGCATATTTCAATTAAAACGAAAAGAGCTTTCGATTTACTCTATTGTCAGAGACAATGGATTTCTCAATCTTTTCGAAGCACCGAAAGAGAAATGCCCTTGGAGATATGGGAAAATGAAGCGGACATTCCAGATCATTATTTAAGTAAATGAGAATGTTAGCTCTAACCAGTAGAGATTCGGATCATCAATAGCTTCTTTCTGATTCTCAACTCCCACCGTCTCCTATTCCAACCATATGACCAATCTCAATTAAAATCCCAAAATACCATAAATACCCTTAAGCTCAAACTTGGTCAAACTTAGTATAAGTCAAAGCCAAACTGGTCAACCAACTAAGTCAACTGAGTCAACCTAGCCGAGTCAACCCAACTGAGTCAACTCAGCCAAATCGACTCAAAGTGAGTGCACTTAAAACGAAGGAACGTTGGGCATACTCGCGTCCTCGCATGTTCACCACCATCGGGGTGGTTTATCTCGTACGCAGGGCATACTCCTAGTACACGAGTTGTACTCCCTGAACCCCAAAACTTCCATTAAGAGCTTAATAGCTAAAGCTCCTACGTCCATACTGCAGATCCATGACTAATATAATCTTACAAGTCATAAAGTCTCCGACCTTATGACTTAGCAGGTCCAATAAGTGCTTATCTCCAGGTCTTAATCCATTAAGACCTTCTACATGATGCATGGAGCAAAACTAACAATTTTCAACCCTTTTTTATGACTCAAGACCCTCCCAAAGGTCTAAAAGGACGAAGTAATGGGTCAAGTCCATGCTTTGTTCAAGAATCATCATTTTGGGACCCAAAAGAGACTTTAAAGAGCAAAAACCTAGATCTACAAGATGGAGTCGAAAATATGAGAAACTATAAAGATCGATAGATTCTATATTTATGAGATGAAATAAAGACAAGAAACGACAATGATCAAAAAGGTGCCGAGTGATTATTAATCATAGCAATAGAATAGTTCTTGAGGCAGAACTATTTTGTACTTGCTTCAAAAGTCGTAACCCTAAACAATACATGTACTCTATATATAGACTAACTAAGTCACTAATTCTGAACATGGACAGGAACATTTTGGAATCCGATAACATATATTTGACACTACACAATATTAGACCTAACAATCTCCCCCTTTGTGTCAATTCGGAAGGAAGTCTTCATTGTTGTCTTTGCGCGTCAAAAATCTACGACATAATCTTCATAAGTGAGCCTCGGACAGACAAATACCAGCGAATCATATTGGAAACGCATTTCATATCGGCAATAGAGTTTGCTTCCGTTCATGTGTAAACAATGCTTCAATGCTTCTTCCGAATGATCCCTGCTTTCAAATGTTGGATGTCTCCCGGTTGTTCTTCTGGTTTCATAATAGGCCTCTTCTTTAGAATAGATGCGATCTCAATATCCATATTCGCAATTTTAAGGATGTAACACTTGATCATTCTTTTCATATGTGCAATAATGGGATCATGCCTCTGAACATCCACCACCACAATGTAGAACAAATATAACCAATCATAAGGGTTCATGAATGGCAGATCAGCCAATGTGAACTCATGAAGAATGCAATTGGCACCTCAGAATCCTTTGAACTGGATATTCAAATTCTTCAGTCTGAATCGGTAATCTAACCTTCACTGCCATGATCCGTTTCAAGCTCCATGTCTCATACTACGGTATTGCATATTTTAATTAAAACGAAAAGAGCTTTCGATTTACTATATTGTCAGAGACCAAGGATTTTTCAATCTTTTCGAAGCACCGAAAGATAAACACCCTTGGAGATATGTGAAAATAAAGCTGACATTCCAGATCATTATTTAAGTCAAACAAGATTATTGGCTCTAACCAGTAGAGATTCGCATCATCAATAGCTTCTTTCTGAATATGCTCATGAGGCCAAGCAGGAACATGGATTTATAAGTTTCAAGAATTAGTTTCGCATTCTTGGCCTCAACTTCTTCTACCTCGAATTTCTTCCAAAGAGCATTGAGCTCGTTCCGACTCAGTCAAGTTCGCATCTTCATCATTTTCTTCTTCAGAAATACCTTTGCCTTATCTTTTCCTGATCCGAAAGCTTCATTATCCGTCCGATAATCCTCATTCTTTATTTCTTCTTGCTCGTCTCCCCCTTGTTTCGTAGATGACCCTCTTCCCGAAACACCCTGTATCTGATTTAGCATGGCGAAATATGATAAAGATTTATCAAAAGCATTTCCAAAGAAATGTATTTCATTAAAAGACTCGGGATGTCATGTTTGTTACAGATCAAAAGCATAAACAGTACAATATAAGCCTTACTACATTATTTCATATCTACATGCCTATATCCGTAATCCCTCATCCAAAACATCACATCTATGCCCGAACGCCACTACCTGTAATACATGAAACAGAGTGGGTCAGGCTTGGGAGCCTGGTGAGCACATAGGGTTTTCAACCCACAATAAATAAGTTTATTAATTTCATCAATCAACAATAACCCGATTACCCGTTCCTGTTATCCTTACTTTACGTCCCTAAACACCTGTCATAAGGGACCTAGCCTAAGGATCATCATCGGGATGGACACTACTGCTAAGGGGGTTCCTCAGCAATAAATGTCCTAAAGGCAACCACGAGGGGGATGGAGTACACTTGTGAACACATCGTTCACAAACACCTACAGGTTGCGAGCCTGCTAGCGTTCCACTGGATTGTCTAGAAGAGTCTGTGGTCGTCATCTATACTCCGCTAGATGACTGGATCACCAACAACATCGAGGCCTCTCATCATTTTAGCACACATCGTCTTATTACATCTACCCATGTTTTACCCCAACATTTTTGTAGATATAAAATACATATACAGTTTAAATCATGAAAAACGTGTATAAAATCATTCATTCAACATAGACAGCAAGTATCCAGATAATATGCACACATAGCACGTAATTTATATAAAATACTTCATATCTATGTGTAAGATGAAGGTAACTATGCACTCACCTGAAAGGTGGTGACTCGGTACTCGAACAACACTTCGTTATCTCAAAACAATTTTTCCTTGACCAAAACCTAGTATCAATATCACTAGAGTTTAGTTTTAACGTTAACCGCGACTAATTAATAGTCTAGCTATTATTATTATTATATAAGCGTTAAATAACACCCAATATAACTCATAATAATAACCCAAATAATTATTTGAAGGACCTAATAACATTACTATAATTATTTAAAAGTTATATTATAAATTGCGTAGGCGTAGGTCACTTACAGCGGATTTTAAAGAAAACCGGGCTTTGCTCGGAGCAGCATTTCCGAACCGAAAGACCCTTTTTCTCGGGACTCCGGGAGCCTCGGGACTTCCTTAGGGTGCTAGGGATTTTTCCTAGGGTTTAAGGGGTTAAAATGGGTAGTGAGAGAAAGTAGAGAGAGAAAGGAATGAAGAAATGAGTGATTTCCTTGGCAGCCCTTGCAGGGTATTTATAGCCGCGAGCCTCGGACGTACGTTGGGCGTAGTCCTTGGCTACGCGGGGCGTAGTCCTTGGCTACGCGGGGCGTAGTCTTCGGATAAGGTCACCAGCTCGGATCCAGCTGGCTCGCACGCACCTACTCTCGGAAGTGGATAAGGCTAAGTACGCCAGGCGTACCCAGCTTCGGACGCGGGGCGTAGTGCGAGGCTACGTGGTGTTCATCGGATGCGAGGCCGTGCTTAGCAAGCGACGGCTGAGATTTGGCCACGTCACCACCCCCTTGCAGATTTCGCAATTTTTCTTCCCGACTTCTAAAAATCATAACTTTCGCATACGAGCTCCTCTTTCGACGTTCTTTATATCCACGCGTAGGCAGGAACGTACTCTACAACTTTGGTTTGGACTCCGTCGGCTAATTTTGAATTTATTTTAAAAGTTATATTTTTAACAGGCCGGGACAGGATTGGTCTGTTAAAAATTCATAACTTCTTCATCCGACGTCCGGTTTCGTCTGTCTTTTTATCGATACGCTACTATTAACGATATCCTCGATTCTCGTTTAGGTTGTGTCGGCTAAAAACCGCTCGATCTAAGATTCGAACTTCGGGCTGTACACCGCTAAGCCGAAATTTCGAAAAATCATAACTTCCTCATACAAAGTCAGATTTGGGCGTTCTTTTTATGGACGCTCTCGGTTTAACGTTTTCTACGACTTTCGTTTAGATCGCTATGGCTAAAAGTCGCTCTATCGTAAATTCACTATTTACGCTTCCCGGTGCCGTGTCGGTTTCATCACGAAACTTCGACGGGTCATAACTTCTTCGTTATAACTCGGATTTCGGCGTTCTTTATATCTCCGGAATCCTTGTTTTGACCACTACAACTTTATGTAAAGATATCGGGCTTATCTCACACTTTAATTTTGACGCTTATTTTTATTCTTTATTAATTATACATTATAATTAAATAATAAGCGTATAAATTTACATAATTCACATAATACTCAAATATTTCATCTTTATTTCATCAAAAAGAGTTACAATAGTTGACCTAGACTATTAAATCCTCTAAAAATGCTTAGCCCCGAAACCCGGGCGTTACAATTCTCTCCCCCTTAGGATGATTCCGTCCCGGAATCATGCGTCAGCAAACAGATGCGAATAGCGACTCATCATGTCATCCTCTGTTTCCTAAGTGAGATTCGGCCCATTCGAATGTTTCCACTGGACTAGCACTAAGTCGACCATCTTGCGTCGTAACTTCTTAGTCTTACGGTCAACAATTGCCTCGGGCTCTTCAATCAGCCTCTTGTTTTCATCCATTCTTAACTCTGAGATAGGAATTATATCAGGAACTTCTCCCGTGAATTTCCTCAGATAACACACATGAAAGGTGTTATAAATACCATCTAGTTCTTCGGGTAATTCGAGCTTATAGGCTTGGTTCCCAGTCTTCTGAAGAATTTTGAACGGTCCAATAAACCTTCGACTTAGCTTTCCTCGTTTCCCGAATCTTATAAGTCCCTTCCACGGTGAGACTTTAAGCAAAACCGAATCCCCAACTTCGAAGGTCATCGGTCGTCTTTTCTTGTTAGCATAGCTCTTCTGACGATCCTGAGCTGCTAACATTCTTTCCCTAATCACCTTCAGTTTCTCAGCAGTCTCATGGACTATCTCGGGGATCATAAACTGCTTTTCTCCGGCCTCAATCCAACAAGACGGCGTAAGACACTTCTGTCCGTACAAGGCTTGATAAGGTGCCATCTTGATGCTCGAGTGGAAACTATTGTTGTAGGAAAATTCTACCAGAGGTAAGTATTCATCCCAGTTACCTTGGAACTCGAGGGTACATGCTCTCAACATATCTTCAAGTGTTTGAATCGTTCTTTCGCTCTGACCATCAGTCTGCGGATGGTAAGCCGTACTCAAACATAACTTCGTACCCAATTCCTCTTATAGACTTCTCCAAAATCTTGACGTGAAACGACTATCACGATCCGATACAATCGTTAAAGGAACACTGTGAAGTCTCATAATTTCCTTCACGTAAGCATTTGCAAGCTTATCCATAGACCACCTTTCGTTGGCAGCTATGAAGTGTGCACAATTTGTGAAACGATCCACGACCACCCAAATCATGTCGTGACTGTTCTTCGTCTTGGGTAGTTTAGTCACAAAATCCATGGTGATGTCCTCCCATTTACCCATGGGTACATGTAAGGGTTCTAAACTCCCATACGGTTTCTGATGTTGTGCCTTAACTCTTGCACAAGTTACACACTCGGTCATATACTTTGCAACATCGAGCTTCATCGTCGGCCACCAGTAGTAGGGTTTTAGGTCCCTATACATTTTTGTGCTACCGGGATGAATCGAGTACATGGTCTTGTGAGCTTCTTCTATCAGAAGATCTCTTATTCCTCCCGTCTTAGGTACCCAAATCCGATCTTGGAATACCTTCAGTCCTTGACGGTTTGTACCGAATACCAACGTCTTTCCCAAACGTTCTTCCTTTCGGTCATTCTTTTCTGAGGCTTTTTCTTGAGCTTTCTTGATACTTTCCACAATTGTCGAGACAACTTCAATTCTCAATGCTCTTGGCCTTTTCCTTTCAAGATTGACTTTCCGATTGAGAGCATCAGCAACAACATTTGCTTTACCGGGGTGGTAAAGTATCTCACAGTCGTAGTCCTTGAGTAATTCTAGCCAGCGTCGTTGCCTCATGTTCAATTCTTTCTGATTAACGAGATACTGGAGACTCTTATGATCAGTGAAAAGTTTGCACTTCGTGCCATAGAGGTAATGCCTCAATATCTTTAGAGCAAAAACTACCGCTGCCAACTCCAAATCGTGAGTGGGGTAGTTATTTTCATGCTCCTTCAATTGTCGAGACGCATATGCTATCACTTTTTCTCTTTGAGTCAGAACACATCCCAACCCGACTCCAGATGCGTCATTGTAGACTGCGAAGTCTTCAACTCCATCGGGTAGAGAAAGAATCGGTGCTTCACATAACTTTTTCTTTAGCTTCTCGAATGCTTCTTCATGCTTCTCCCTCCATGTATAAGTAGCTCCTTTATGGGTCAAAGCAGTCAACAGAGCAGATATCGAAGAAAAGCCTTGGATAAATCGTCGGTAATATCCGGCTAATCCTAGAAAGCTTCGAATCTATGTGGGACTCTTCGGTCGTTCCCACTTCATTACAGCTTCGATTTTTGCTGGGTCAAGCATTATTCCCTCCTGGTTAACCACATGACCCAAGAATTGGACTTCTCGGATCCAAAAATCACATTTAGAGAACTTAGCGTACAGCTTCTCCTTCTTCAATACCTCCAACACCTCTCGTAGATGCTTGCCATGGTCCTCCTGACTTTTCGAGTAGATCAGAATTTCGTCGATGAACACTATCACGGATTTATCGAGGAATGGTTTACAAACACTGTTCATCAAATCCATGAATGCTGCTTGAGCATTGGTTAGTCCAAACGACATAACCAAGAACTCGTACTGTCCATACCTCGTTCTGAATGCAGTCTTCTCGATATCCTGCTCTCTCACCTTCAGCTGATGATATCCTGACCTAAGATCGATCTTTGAGAAATAGGTCGAACCTTGCAGCTGATTGAATAGGTCATCAATCCTTGGCAATGGATACTTGTTCTTCATTGTTGCCTTGTTCAGCTCTCCGTAGTCTTCACACATTCTCATGCTTCCGTCTTTCTTCTTC